AGATTTTTTTTTAAAGCAAGTGGCTTCAGTTTGCTTGGTGGTATGGATCCCTTTTGTTCAAGTTTCTTTATTGTCATTCGCATCACATGTGGTTCATGAGGTGGAACGAAATGATGTACACAGGGTCACAGTTACATCCAAATATAACAAAAATATAAAGTGTAAAAAGAAACGGTATATAAGGATCTAAGCTATACTGTAAGTTAAACACTAATAATGTAAAATAATACAGTGTATTAAACAGCAGCCCGAACATGAGTCTGTAGTGAGTAGATGGGTGTGAATACAGAAGCATGAGACAGTCAGCAGCACAGATAAGTCACATATCACCAATGAAAGTGACATTACAGTAATATATATATATTTATATTTTTGCTGAGTGAATTATCTGTGACTCTGTCAAAGAGCTCCAGGTGTTGATTATTATGGTAGAAAACTTACTGTATCCACTTCAACTAGCCTGCATCCAAAAACTTAGATCCTCTTCTTTATCCTCTTAACTTTTGTCACATTTTACAGTTCTGCATCTGTGCTTGTCAGTTTTCTGAGAATAGAAGCCGGCTCCAAAGTTAGGTTTTTGATATTGGTAGGTAATAATACCTATGAGTTATGTGGGAAAAGTCTCCTTTGTCAAATGTCCTCAGGCCGCAACAGTTCACTGTGTTGTTTTCTCAACAATCTCTTTGAAACTTGGCCAGATTGCTGCACTTCTTGACAGCACGTACAGGAGTCAACATAAAAAGGGCAAGAACACATGAGAAGATTTTATAAATTTACATTTTGTTACTAAAGACATAAGAAAAATCCCCAAACTGTCATGTGTTAAAAATCCGTTGTTGTTGTTTTTATTTTCCTTAGATCTCTTATCATATTTAAAAAATAATTTGACTCATCAAACCAGTGAAAATGAATGAGATTACAACTATTTCAGCATGTCATTCAATAATGCATAGATGACAAAAGATACAAAACTGCAGTCTTGGGTGGGTTGGCAACGACCCAACAAGTCAGTACCAAGCCCGAGAAATTTCCTTAAAGCTACAACAGAAGGGTGGAGTCCAATTCCCCGTCCTTGTCTTTGGGACGATCATAAAAACTCAACACTCGAGTATTTCTGTGTTGACTTACACAGTATTGATTCATATTTTAGTACATTATATAAAACTGTTCTAATTGCACGTGAATCAAAGCTAGGTCACCTTGGGTTTTTAAAATGGTAGCAATTTTTCTTTTTTACCCTAATACTTAATACTGACATTTTTAACTCTTGACAAGTGCTGTCTGGAGACTTATCCATAAATAATGCATTTACAATACCTAGTAAATAAACATGGGGCACAATCGTTAGCCCCGCTGGCAACTCGACCTAATAGAGCTTTTACAGCAAAGGTGACTATTCAGCTAAATGCAGCGCTCACTGCTGGGAGGACATTTTCATTCATTAGCACAGTCACATGCACTTAAAGCACTTTAAGGATCAGAGATGGAGAGTAAAGATAGAAGGAAAGAGAGGGTGAAAGGGTAGAAATATAGAGAGATGAAGGAATGGAAGAATTACACCTATAATAATGAGCAATGTATCCATTGTTGTAAAGCATCGCGGTTAACGAGGCAATGTGGACAAATTGAAGCTGTATGAGTAGTACTTTTAATTTTTTAAACCATTCTCTACTTCTCAGTCCTGCAAGATACCAGGTTCATGACATAAGATAAGATAAGATAAGATAAGATAAGATAAGATAAGATAAGATAAGATAAGATAAGATAAGATAAGATAGGACTTTATTCATCCCACTGGAAATTCTTGTGCAGAGTTTCAGTACAAAGTAACATGTACAAGGAATAAAAAAAAATAACAAAGAATATAAAAAATACCAACAATTAAGTTCTAAACAGGTCCAGACAGAAACATTAAAGTCTTTATTGTGGTGCAGGATTAGTTTTATTGTGTAAAAAGTGGGAGGAGTTGAAAAGTTTGAAGGACTTCCTGTGGTGTTCTGTGGAGCACCTTGGTGGTCTCAGTCTGCGACTGAAGGTGCTGTGGTAAGAGTCCAGGGTGTCATGCAGGGGGTGAGACGTGTCCAGGGTGTCATGCAGGGGGTGAGATGTGTCCAGGGTGTCATGCAGGGGGTGAAATGTGTCCAGGGTGTCATGCAGGGGGTGAGACGTATCCAGGGTGTCATGCAGGGGGTGAGACGTGTTGTTCAGGATCTGGAGCAGGTTCTTCAGCATCCTCTGCTCAGACACCTCTGTCAGAGACTGCAGGTCCACTCCCAGAACTGAACCAGCTCTCCTGATGAGCTTATAGAGTCTGTTGGCATCAGCTTTCTTCACCTGCTGCCCCAGCACACCACAGCGTAGAAGAAGATGCTGGAGACCACAGAGTGGTAAAACATCTGCAGCATGGTCCTGCAGACGTTAAAGGACCTGAGGCTCCTCAGAAGAAAAAGGTGACTCTGCTTTTCTTGTAGAGGGTGTTGGTGTTAGCTGTCCAGTCCAGTTTATTGTCTTGCTTTCTAGTTTGGTCAGTTACCTGTTCAACACTGTGAAGTCTGTATGGTTTAATTATTGTCATCTGCACCTGACTGGAAGAGCCCCCCACCCCCACAACAAATCTGCAAATGTCCAAAAAAATAGCAAGCACACAAGTGTATATATATCAGCCAGGTCCCAACACGATGTGCAGACGGATGCAAAGAAGCAAACTGAGGCCTTCAAAGACCATCTACTTTCTTTACACACATTTCTGTGCTGGGGATGCATTGGATCTGGTGCCTATCTGCAGCAGTCATTGTGCAAGAGCCAGGGGACATCCTGGACAGATTGCAAGTCCACCACAGGGCTACATAGACCGATGAGACAGACAACCATTCAGCCTAACTAATTCTCAAGCCATATGAGCAAAATTCTATGGATAACAAGAACCACAGTTCATTTTACTTTCCAATTCAACTCATTTTGCCTCTCTTAAAGAAACGTAATTATCTTGACTTGACTGTGAAAGTCAGAGAAGAATGGCAGCAGATGGTGAAGTGTGTCCTCTGTGTCCTGACCCAGCAAGCTCCACGCAGCAGAATTAGAGACAACAGTAGTTGTGCATGTATAAGCTTCATATTTAGCTTTTGGTTCCTTGTGGCATTTAAAATCATCATTTAGACAACAGCTTCTTCAAAATCTGTGAATGATCTTCAATGGGTTAATCCAGCCATTTTCTTTTCTAACAACATGCCTCTCCATAAACAAAGACATGAGATTATAATTTCTCAAAGGTTGCTGTTAAGTTCTCTGTAGGCAGTTTGGACAAGTCCTCCTCACGCCGTCTTACAGTAATCACTGATCATCACCACTGAGGCTTTCTCAAGAGCTCTCAACAACACAGTAACTCTCAGTTCTTACAGCATGGGGACAGCATGCTAAACTTTGTACGACTCTTGTCTTCTGCTGTGCTCCCTGCTCGCAAGCTCATTTCCTCTAACAAGGGAGAGTGTTTTGGTGGTGATGATACACAGTGCATGAGGCAGACCAAGTCACTATTATTAACAGGAGATTAAAACAGCTGTATGGCACTCCAAAGCCCCCTCTCTTCCATGCACTAACATACGGCTCTGGATTACAAGCTGCACTTGACCATTTAATTTATGGCAACAACCAGCCTTCACCAGCTGGGGCTCATTAACATCATGTCCACAGTTGCTACCAAGAGCATTGACTATCTTGCCACAAAAATCATCTCTGCAAGAAACAAGACTCGTGAAATACTTTATGGTGAGACAGAAAAGTTGTAGCAGAACCAGTTTGTACAAGCAGAACCACAGTAAACCAGACGTTTTTCCTGCGAGATGATTCACATCAGGATTGATTCTAGATTCAGGCCCAAATGCAAGAACTCATCATAGTTTTTGTCTAGTGCAGCATGGGGAAAACCCCAAGCACCTTTATGAAACATTTGAAAGTTTATCAAGCAGTTCAATGCATCTAACTCTGGCATTCTTAATTTCTGATTTTATTTTTGTATAAGTTTCATAACCTTAATGGCACATTAATTAAATTTTCTTTCAAACGTTTGACATAAAGTCCTATTTGCTGTGGTTCAGCAGAACATGGACTGATCGCTCCGACTGATAATATCCAAATAACAACACAAACCATCAGTCAGATGAGGATGTGCTAAATGATTATTGGGTGAAAGGTTCAGTGAGTCTCTGTTACAAAGATCGCCACATGCACACTTAAAAAAAGAAGTGGCAAATTATTTTTAGGCAGAGGTCTAATTTATTCGTCTGATGAAGTGCTTAAGCTAAGAGCTCCCCAGACACTAAATGAGACACATGTGTTCCCAGGGGGGTTTAACATTTGATTGGATGTAGTTATATTACTACAGCCCTAATTAAGAAGGGGGGATGTGTTTCAGCAGCTCTTTCAAATATTTGTTTTTCCGCCATACTCTTGATAGACTGCAGGCTGTAGGAGGGAGAGCCAGACAGGGTGAAATGTTGCAGATATGATGGAAACAGTCTTATCAAAGAGAAAGAATTTCTTCTTCTCAGTGTCTCTGATGTCTTGAGGAGAGATGAACTAATTAGGTGCATTAATTGGTTTAGATCTTTGAGAAGGGCTTGGGTTGTCTGGAGGACCTTAACTTTGATGTGTAACTGCTTGGAGTGGAAATCAGCCTGTGTGGCTAAATAAAATGGAGGTAATGTTCCTGGCATCAGGTCAGCACTATGAGTTTTCTAGTCAGAGTTTGTCTTGGCACTTCTGCAGAGATGCAGCACCACACAGCCAGCCTTTGTGACAATGGAAGAAATGCAGAACAGACTGGAACGACTGGGACATCAGTAATCCCAGCTTGTATGAGTGGGCATGAGTGTTTGAGACAGAGAGGAAAGAGGCAGACAGTCAGGAGGCAAGAAACGTATTAAAATAAAAGGGAACATCAAGGAGGAGGAGGGAGAAGGCATTCCTACACTTTTACTCCACACACACAGACGGGGTCATACCATCTTGCTCTGTCTTTGTCATCTCCTCGAGCTTCTTCTGCTTCAGCGAGTCCACCACATCTGCCAGGCTTCCTTTGCGACGTTCGGGAGTTCCAAACACTGATCCGCTCAGCAGGTCGCTCCTCTCCCGAGCCCCCTCCTCAGGCTTGTGTGGAGAAGTTGAATTGTTCCGGAAGGAGTACAGGGAGCATACTTTATTGCTGTCAGACTCCTGCAGGACAAAAAATTAATAAAAGTTAGCACTGGCAGCAACACGGGATGTTTTTAATGATTAGTGTGTTTTTGTGCTGTCTGAGCTCTTTGAGCGTTTTGACAGTTTTTCATTCAAATGCAGTGATTGCTAGGGATCTTTCAGCTCAGGGCCGATTTAATCATATTAAATGCCTCCTCTCCGGCTTTTATACAACAACTTCTGTGTTTTCAACAGTGCTAGCTGTGCTGGTAAATGAGACATGACAAGTGAAAAATTGAGATGAAATGATGAGGTGCATTTGACATATCCATAATGTGCTCAGCTTTTACTATTCATCTGCACAGACTATACAGAAAAACCTCCCAACTATAATCTCTTAAATTGCTGTTGAGAGTGCATTTGTGTCGGGGTGACTACTGTGTAATTTGTTCATTTTCTAGTAGAGACCTATTCTCAGCTGAGTGCCTCGTGCATTCGTAAATCTGCGTCTTGTCTCGGCTGTTTGTTGTTTTTTTGTCCCACCTGTGCATGGTTTAGTATTTAACTAAGGGTCCTGTCTCTGGCTGACTGGCTGAGTGCTCCCTGTGCACAAACAGAGGCATGAAGAAAAGGGGGGAGAAGAATGGGGGAGGAGAATACTCCGCACATGGGAGTGCAGCGCACAGACCACGGCTGAGGCCTGACAGAAGGTGCTGTTAATTATGGAGGCTGAAAAAACAGAAGGGAGCTGAGAAGCCAGAAGTTGGAGCCTTCAAGAGGGGAACAGCTACATCTGATATAAACTTTGGCTTACCAATTAAAAAGAATAAACTAAAAATTATTTATGTTGAAAAAAAATTCTACTCTTGTTTAACAAATCATATAATCCTAAAATAAAAACTTGGGGAGATCGGTAAACGAGACTGATCATAGTGCCAGCATCTCATCCCTGTGTGGCACATTGAGCTCCAGACTCACAGCGGCTCGCTGGGGGGTTTGGTACCGAGTGGTTGGATGGCACGGCCGAGCGGCTGGATGGCACGGCCGAGCGGTTGGATGGCACGGCCGAGCGGTTGGATGGCACGGCCGAGCGGCACCTCCTGGCCCTGTGTCGGACGGTTACGCAGCAAAGCAGAGACAATGAAGAGCACTCGAGGGGAGTGGAGAAGTTCTGGGTTAATCATCTGGCACGGGTTCAGGGCCCACACAGACGCATGGCACAGCAAGAGAGTCAGGTAATCAGACCCCCCCCCCCATGCCTTCCACCCTGTCATTCCAGCCTCACTTGTTATCGTTCATTTTGTGTTCTTTAACCCACTTCCTCTTACTTTTCCTTTACAATTAAATTTTGTCTCGTCTCTTTTAAAAGAAATGTTAAATTTCTTGACCATATTTTAAAAGGCTTTTGTTAGTACTTATATTAAACAGCTTTGAGCAGGATATTTTTGTTCAGTTTCTTAAAAGCTCACAGCATAGTGTATAAGTTGTACAGAAAAATCAAAGATTTTTCACATTCATGTGGGTTTTTTTGTTTTAGTTATTTTTATAATATCTAAACACCTGTTCTTTTTGTCATTGTTATAATTTGAGAACACAATTTCGAGAGATGCTAAATGAACATGATCTGATTACTTGGATTCAAAGGTCTGAATTAGGCAAATATAAAAAATAATCATGATAGATATTTAAAAACATGTTTTGTAAAATGACTGAAAACAACTAAATTGCTGAGAGGAGTTTAATATTCCACAGGTAACAGGGATTATTCTTTCTGACCCAGCGTTATTTAAACACAGTCTGTTGGATGTGCTGTAACGTTGAGGGGCTCAGTAGCCAAACACAGTTCCTTCAGAGACCCCGTGTTTCTTTTTCTTTTTGTAACCAGGTCTGTCATAGACCTGTCTCCTCCGTCTGCAGCCCACCAGAGCCTGCGCTCGTCCTCGCTCTGCTTACATCAAAGCAGCTCCGTGCTCGGGGTTTGCTGTAGATGTAGCTCTCGCAAAACAAAAATCAAGATTCATGCAACAAAACTGACATTTCTTGAATCCAAAGCACGCATGAGGCTGCACTTCCTTTTCATCTAAAACGTTGCCATTTTGTGTGTCATCACTCAGAAGAGCACGAGATCCTCGGTTTGACCCTGAAATAGCTCACGATGCTTGGCACAGTTTCCTTTCTGAAGATCCCCAAATCCCAGAAGCTCAGCGGCACAGAGACATCACAGGGCTCGAAGGGGCAAAGATGGAGAATTAACTGAGGGTAAATGTGCCTGACACAAACAATGGAAACCAGAGAAGACTGGGTTTTAAAGGGAGGACCGAAACACCGAAGTGTAAGTTTGCGACAGTAATCCCAAGTCTTCTTATTTACACCTAGGACACTTCAAATTCCTTTAGGAGAGGAACAAACTGTTTGAAACTAATATTTTCTGAAAATGTAGAAAATTGTGCTCACTGTTTAAAGATGAAAACAAATGTTTGGTATCAGAAACAAACAGTCTCATCGTCAACAATAATTCAACTATAAGATTAACTGTAACGACAAAAACAAATGAATGTGATCAGGTGCATCTTTAACCTCCACAAACGCGTTTCATAGAAATGCAAAATCCATTTTAAAATATCTAAAATTACTGTCATTTAACAACAAACCTTTATAAAGTGTACAAGTCTTACCATGCACTGCTGTGCTGACACCAGGCTCTCCCAGTCGCTCTCTGCTGGGACGCTGCTGAGCGGCTGCATTTCATCGGGGGCTTTTCCGTGGAGCAAACTGTGCAGGGGCAGCTGTGGTGTGCCGTGAGCTTCTGCGCTCTCGTCCTTTTCCCAAGACAAGTGCTCCTGACCCATGGCATCGTCGCCATCAACCACAGAGGCAAAAGGAGATGTAGCTTGCTTCGAAGACATGACTCTGCTGCAGAGCAATAAAAGAAGAGGAGACGGGGGAAAGTGCATTAAATCAATCAAGAATGAGGTTCAATCAATTTTGCACAAGAGAGAAGATAAAACAAGTTTAAGTGAACACTTCCTTTTACTGTCACCTGTTGCTGCTCCGGTCTGCAGGGTCTTTAATCTTTTGTTTAAGGCACATGGATGAATTGATCTAAGCCTGGAACTTTGCCCAAACCCCAAGACAGGAATTCAGACTGCAGGTCAGCCAATGAATGGGATTGAGTTCCCATAAAAAGTATAAAAACTGATATGACAACTGGTTTTTCAAGAATAACATAAAACATGTTGCTTATTTACTCGAATCCTATAAAATCGTCTTGTATTGTCTGACACTACGAGTAATGTTTGTGTTTTCTTAATTTCACTTTGTCCTTCATACGTCTTCATCAGTTTCCTTGGATGAAGATAATTCACACGGATGTTCTTACAGTTGAACCTGCTTTCCTTTACTGCAATGATGAAACTGAGTTTGTGTCTTTTGTTTCCACATGTCCAATTGTTGAATAATTCCCACTTGATGTGACAGTGGACCTCAGGGTCGAACAAGTGGCACTAAAGAATCAAAGCTGAGACATGCATTCACAAATATCTCAAATACTTTCATGGATATTACAGCGAAGAGTACACTTGATTAATCAGGTGCAAAAAAATAAAATAAAATAAATTCTAATTTTTAGATTTTTGTCTTTGCCTTTTAACAGCCCATTTCTCTCATATACAGTTAATGCAACCGACTGCTGTCTTAGTTTAGTTTTTGTTTTTCACAAATAAAGAAGCTCTTCTCATGCTGTGTGTTGTGATAAATAAAATTAAACACAGTGCCAGGAAATCTAATTGTGCATTTGTTATTAAATGTAAAAGGGGGATATTATGGTCTTCTTATGAATAAAGAGAATATTTAACTCTTAGTCCATTTTTTTTTACTGATCCATTGCTTTGTTTGTTTTGATCAAAGTGGAGGATATTGTCCATTTAAACCATCGGTCTATGTGTGTTTGAAGGGAGAATAAAGGAAATGTGCTCATTGGTGGTTTTTATTTATGTATTTTTATGTTGCAGCAAACTAAGAGTAGTTTTAATAGATTTCATCAGTGATCACCATCGGCCCGTTCTCCGGCTCCATCCACAGGGGTCAGTGTGACAGCACTTTAGTTCAACACCCAACTTGTTGGTGAAGGTGTGTGTGTGTGTGTGGGGGGGGGGGGGGGGGGGGGGACCCGGGGGGGGGGGGGGGGCGGGGGGGGGGGGGGGGGGGGGGGGGGGGGGGTCCTCAAGGCTGAGGCAAACTGTGATGCTATGGAGTCATAGGCAAAGATGTGTTCAACTTTTGGAAAGGATGTTTTACTAACAAGTTTGATGATTTGTGGTCAAGGAAATAAGATTTTACACAGTGCATGCACAAACACAGGTGAAATGTTACCTGTCACTGTTATAGGCCAGTTTCTTCACACATGACTTAAAAATTAAAAAAAATCTAAATAAATGATGCAATGACACATTTAAGGAAAATGAGAAATAAAACAATATTTGCAGGATCAAAAAACCTGGCGCAGCCACTTTGTATGCACAGAGCAGGCATGTGGACTTGTACCTGTCTGCCTGCCTGCCTGCCTGTCTGTCTGTCTGTCTGTCTGCCTGTCTGCCTGTCTGTCTGCCTGCCTGTCTGTCTGCCTGCCTGCCTGCCTGTCTGTCTGTCTGTTTGTCTGCCCGTCTGTCTGTCTGTCTGTCTGTCTGTCTGTCTTTCATTCTCTGCACTTACAAATGTTGTCGTCTGTGTTTTCAGTAGGACTTTGCCCTCAATTTTAATCAGCCATTAAATTGTTTCCTGTAATTACATCAAACAGAAACTGAGCTGAAAATTGTGTACTGTTAATTGAAAATCAAGAGTCGGAGCAAAGTTCAGGACATGCACGTAATGGTAAGTGTAAGTGGAGTGTGTGTGCACGTGTGTGTGTGATGAGAGTAGGCCTATCAGTAGAATCGAACATATTTTTTATTCATGCACCCAAAAAGCTCGAGCCTGGAGCGAATCAAGCGCCTTGTCTTCAGTGAGCGTGAAACAAAGCAGTGCTTTTGTATTACACAGTAAATCAAGTGGTATTATTTTACCACTAAAATATTCAGTCTCTGAGGCACTTTTACTTTGCTCTCCAGCCATCAGTCAAGCTGCTGAGGCGTGAGCGAGTGAAGACGATAGACGAGGAAAGAAAAGGAGACGGAGCAGTGGCGACTCCATCCTCCTGTAACACGTGTCTACCACAATCTTGTTAAAGAATGCAACAGATCTGCAGCAGGCTCCATAACAGTATTTGTCAGCAGGAGTTAATAATTTATTAGTAGCGCTGGGAGGGCTGCGCTCAGGCAGCTAAAGAGTGCAGAGAAATCCTTCTGCCCCACCCCCCATCTCTGACAAGCCCCATACAATGCTACCTCACATTATTGAAAGGGAAAAGGGGAAGTGTGGCAATAATTCTCTGAGAATATGTGAGGGCAACCGTACGGTATTTTATTCCTCATATTTAGAGTGGGGATCACACAACTGTGAGATCTAAAGAAGTGTGTGTGCAATAGATCTGGGCTGACACAACAAAGACTCTTGACGAGGAGCAAAAAAAGAGCGAGGAAGCAAAACTCAGTTGAAGCATGTGGAATTTGATCCTATTTTCTGATGGAATAGCTGTTTACACTGCTGGCCTCCGTGCTTGCAGAATAAAATCAGCAAAACATCCCTGTTTGTACAACTGCAGTGTATTCTTGAAATAACTTTACTCACATTAATAATTTAATCAGTTTTGCAAGAAAATAGACTCAAGTTTTTCTAAACAAAAAAATAAAATGAAAATGGGGTGAAATGATAAGGTAGCTCATCCATTATTGACAATCGCTTCACTATCCACCACTTCCTTATTTTTGTTTTTTCAAAAGACAAAGCCCGAGTTACTTTAAAGACATGAGAGCGGGCCAGATAAGAAAGTAACACGGTCTTTATATAGCTGACAATGTCGTGCACATTTGAAGGATTAGGACTGAAGTTCTCCAGCCAGGGGCTCGTATGGCCTGGAATGCTTCGAGTCATGAATTGTTCCCTGAGATAATGTTTCATCATCGTGCAAAACATCCTCGGCCTAATTGGTAAGTGTTAGAGTGGCGCTGCTCGTCTCGGGGGGCCTTGTGACTGCCGGGCCATGTGTCCCCAGCTATCCCATTTCCTCTTTCATCATAAAAGGGTCTGACCAGTTTGCAGCCGCTGGATCTGCTCTTTCACACTGTTTACCTTTTATAGACAATGGTGATAAGTACCGTCTCCCCCAGCCTGTCCCACCCTCTCCTTGTAGTTCAGTGCTGACGACGTGCACACTCGCGTTTCGATCACCAGCCTCAATGTTCAGAGGAAATAAAGCGATCTATAAAAATTTAGATTGCTTAACTAAACAATAACAAACAGTGTATATGTGTTAGTCTACATGCATTTGTCATGTTCAGACATAAAGATACAGAAATAGGAAAAATTAAATTGAGATATTTATTATCAGTTACACAAACCCAACATGTAAACTCTTTATAGAACAAGTTGTGGTACCACTTTACAATAAGGCTCCCCTTATAGATGGCTAATAAATAGTTTATAGATATGTTATTAATTCCTCAATGAATATTTTATAAATCATTAATAACTGCGAATTATGCATTAATTAAGGGTGACAGAGAAACAAAACTGACCAGTTTCTTGCCTAATTACCTACCTACCTCTTGCCTATTTTTTAGGATATAATATTAGTTGTAAATATTTATAATGCAGTGATAAAATACAATATTATATGATAAAGAATTAACGTATTATTTGGACTATAAGGCACACTTGAAATCTTTTAATTTTATTAAAAATTGGCAGTAAGCCTTAAATCAGGTGCGCCTTATGTATTAATTCTGGTTGTGCTTACTGACCTCAAACCGATGTCATGTGGTTGTTGTGAATGAGGTGAATAAAGTTTGACTTATCTGAATGTTTTGTTTTGTTTAATAATTCGTTTATAATCTGGTGCACCTTATAGTCTGAAAAATACGGTAGTTTACAAATGCTTATTGTGCTTACAAGGTAGTAACTTAGTCTGAAATGTTTAATACCATACCATACCACTTTATTTATAGAGCACTTAAAACAGCAACAAGGCCAACCAAAGTGCTGTACAGACAGAACAACAGGTAACACACAAAGCAACATACAAAATGAGGTAAATCAGAATATAGACATAAAAACGATGCAGATAATGACGACAAACCAGTGTGGAGCATACAGGATCAAAACACAGATCATCTGGTGTTGAAAGCTACTGAATAGTAGTGAGTTTTTAAACGGGACTTGAAAACTGAGAGGGAGGGGGCCTGTCTGACAAGCAGAGGTAACTCGTTCCAGAGTCTTGGTCCTGCTACAGAGAAGGCCCTGTCACCTCTGCGCTTAAGACGAGTTCCTGGAACTGTGAGGAGCAACTGGTCCGCTGACCTCAGGGAGCGTGGTGGGACATACGGTTGTAGCAAATCAGAGAGATAGTGGGGGGCGGAACTGTTCAGTGATTTGTAGACATACATGAGTATTTTGAACTGGATTCGAAGGTGAACCGGTAACCAGTGCAGTGAGGCCAAAACTGGTGTAATGTGCTCTCTTTTGCCTGTACTGGTTAAAAATGGGGCTGCTGCATTCTGGACCAGTTGTAGTCGTGCAATGGAGGTCTGACTGATACCAAACAGGAGTGAACTGCAGTAATCAAGCCTAGATGTAATGAATGCATGTATTACTGTCTCCAGGTTCTTTTTGGACAATATGGGCTTCAGTTTAGACAGCCGCCTCAGTTGGAAGAAGCATGATTTAACAATCATTTTTACATGATTATACATGATAATATAACAACTCTAAATGAAATATACAGGTGAACAGGTTTGGCTCACTATTTGGCAAGAAACTGA